GATCTTTCCCAGCATAACTTGACTCGTTACCCTCTCTTAATTCATGAGTCCAGCTGGTGAAACACTTCCAAATCCAAAATACATCCTCGCACTACAAGTTACAAGATGAAAAATTTCCTGTCATGAACGTCGTGCGCTGTGAAGGTACGCTCGAGGTACCGGTCTTAAAATCGTCTATCCTTGGCCAAGTGCGCCAAAGCCTCTACCTGCGACGAATCGCCACCGACAGAAAACTTATAATATCTTCGAGTAATATCAGTTAGAGCATTTGACAAAGGCTGAGACATCGATGCTTTGGTCTTAAGCTCTTCGACCCATATTCGGCATCCAAGGCCAGGGGTACGGCAGCGACGGGGGAAGACAGAAGGGGTGGAAAGTCCACAAAATTTCTTGGATGGTGAGGGTGACATGACAGTTAAGTACAACTGCATCGGAGGGGGAAAGGGGAGGCTTAACTGAGGAGGCCTCGTTGGGCTACTGGATGAGATCTCCAAAAAAAGAGAACGGCCCCTGAATCAGATAAGGGGATGCTGGGACGAGGCAAGACTGGGGCTAAATGAAAAGGCAAAATTAGAGATTGGGAGAGTGTCGAGGGGGAGGGCGCGTGGTGGCAGAGGTTGACGACGTAATAGGGTTCTCTGGACGGCTGGACTTGAAATATTTACTACATGAGCGAAGTCTGAGATGGTCCTGTCATTCAAGTGGGATGAGGTTTGTGTACTTATATGGTAGTTGACCTGATCCAAGCCGACCTTACTATTGCTAAAGCTTCCAAAAGAATGCGAAGAATGCCAATTTCCCAGCACGTTAGTTCACAAACAAACTGCTGTCCATTATTCTGATTTCCATCCTGAATATAGCAAATTTCTCTCTGCCAGGAAATATACAAATTATTTTTCAAGTTGCTTGAAAAATATCCCTCATTGGGGACTATTTTCAACACCTGTCAGTGGTGTGCCCTACGGAGCTCCAGCTCTCACTGTAGAGTCTGCAGAGCCGAGATTGAGTAACAAAGTCCTCACTTCGATGATGATTCCCAATCGCTTTCGCCGTCTGTATCGTCTTCATCTCTCAACATATTTCCCTATCACCATCATCATGAAGCTAACCACGATCAGATCAGATGGTGGGGTCGAAGTCCTTCTCATCACCAACCCTTGATCATGGAGGAGAAGCCATCCGATAAGTTTCCGGAGCGTACCCAGCACCCGATACGGAAATGGTGGATTGGATCGAGTTGGTCTCCAATATTACAAATAAGGGAGATATAGATGGCTATGCGCACCTCATGTGGTCCCAGTGTCTAGGCCTCACCTATCTGGGGCTACAGGCTTTTTGAAACTCTTTCCCGCGAACGCAGTTTCCATTCCTACCTCCTTTTTATTTGGGTAGAAGGTTCCATGTAAAAAGAGGTTGAATTCTACAGGTAAATACTGAGCTGCACGGCTATCCTTCATGGGCAATATGTAAGAGACCTTTTTTCGTAAAATGGGTCAGGAGCACTGTACTGGGTACGGTGTGGATCAGAATCATTAATTCAAGTAGCATAATTTGTATACAAAACTAGAATAGGCTGATAACGTATCGTTAAGAAGGGTAAATGATGGGCCGACTTCTTGGTATATTTTGGAAAATTACGAGGTTAACATGGCACAGTGGGTCGCGAGTTACGATCTAGTCATTTCAGTCTCGATACAAGAGTCGATGGTTATCTGATATATCGAAGGAGAGATTTCTTATCCGAAGAAGTTCGAGGACATCGTAGTCGATTGTCTGATATGTTGATTTTTCTGTTGCCATAATCTCTGTAGTCTGAACTATCAGCAGGTGTTCTCCGGTGTAGTTTGAGTAGCCTAGGCACCTACTCCACTCGGGAAGGAGACACTTAAGACTATATTTCGCGCGGAGAAATGTGAATGGATGATGGAGGCATATCTGGATAACCTAGGGTTTTTGAGAAGTTTCCCTGGGTGGGTATTCACGGATGAGGGTTGACTAGGGTGAAGAAAAATCCACAATAAGTTTGCAGTGGTACTTGCAAATGAAATCCGAGGCATAGGTGCTACTATTGTATATTGAGTCATCTTTTCTGTACTTTTTCTCCGATATTGTGTCATAGCTAGAAAGCTGCATACGCAATTAATGTCTGATGCAAAAAAAAGCACTGTCAGCAAAAATATGCAAACACAAATACTTCTGCTTAATATTTAGGATGAAACTCTGATCCACGAGTGTGGAATGAATGAAAACTGGGTCTGAGAAAAGATGGCAATTTCAGGCTTACAGGGGACGCTACGTATGAGTTTTTAGTCGCGTTCACCCTCCGAGGTATGTGTGTATTTATTTTTATTGATGTACTAGACAAACTGCACCCTTCGCATTCCTTTGGAGGCTTAGCACGAGTAGGGCGGGCTGGATCAGGTTACCTACTGCAAAGTACATGAATCTCTTCTCGTCTGAATGACTAAACCGATTTGACTTCCTCTATGTGTGGAACATTTCAAATCTAAACCGTCCAGAGAACCCGACTTTGACACTCCGAAACACAAATTCATCCTCAAACTCTTCCATAACGCACCCGAGCCAATAACACCCTTTTTTTTCTTAAATTTCATTGTTCAGCTCAATCCTAGAACAGCCTCTTTATCTTGTAAATCTCAAGAGCTTTCTATTTCTCTGACCTTGCCTCGTCGTAGTTGCAACCCTGACTATGTTGGCCGGACATGTGTCAAAGGGCTCAAGACCAAGGCATAGATGCCTCAGCCTTCGTCGAATGCTCTAGTCAGTGTGCCGTCTATGTGTCATACGTATTTCATAGGTGACAATTCGTCGCAGGTCGAATTCTTGGTGCCCTTGGCCGAGGTTGGACGAGTATAAGGCCGGTACTTCTACCGTATCTCCATAGCGCACGATAATTGCAGTGGGGTTGTTGCCGTCTTGAATCTTAGATTATGAGTGAGAGCTTTGGATTTTGGGAAGCTTGGGTATGTGGTGAGATGATTTTAGAGAGGACCGCGAGATGAGTCTAAATGGATAACTTCTTCCTGGAAAATTTGAGGAAATATAGAGAGTCAGTCGTTTCTGTGAAAACATTAGACAGGCTTTGTCCTATCTACAGTTCTCAACTGGTGTGTAAATATTTGTATTCGTTGGGCTGTGCGGCCGTGAAATCTCTGCACGTTGTATTCTCGACCAAGAACTTGACAACATTGCTCTTCCCGATGGCCAACTCGAAAAAAACCCTCATTTCACTCTTTGAAGTAGCCGATCTCAAATCTGCGAGAACTTCTGATTCCCAGGCTAATAGAGAACACCATTGAAAGCTGTTCAACTTTGGTCTCCCCTCCCGCAGCGAAGTAAAAGCTTTACCCAACGCAAAGACCCGACGCGATACAGGGCGCGATTGTAGCCTTGCCTCGTCCAATAGAGCTAGCGCGAAGAGGCGTGGCCTCACTTCAAAGTCTGCATGCTCACTCATGTGCTTACCTTTAGATAACCCCCGCTGCAGCCACGCCAACGCTCATCAAGCCCAAACTATTTTGGTGAAATCGCTTCTGCACCACCTCCTGTCCTGCGCGCCCAATTGTCGAATCTGCGCAGAGTAACACTTCCCCCATGGGACTTAAAATAAAATAAAACAAAAAACTCCACAATGGCCGGCCCCAAGACCGACCTCTCACGGCAAGAGCGCAAGGCGCGCAAGCGTGCTGCTCTCGATGAAGTTCGCGCTGTGCCAGGCGAGGCTGAAAACAACACTGTCGATTCGCCCCCGCCCTCCAAAAAGCGTAAGCGCAGTGCCGAAAAGCCGAAAGCAGCTACTACAGAAATACCAGACGCTCCAGCTCCCGACAACGATGCCTCCTCAAAGCGTGCTCGCAAAGCAGAAGCCCGGGCGCGCCGCGTATTAGAAAAATCTACCGAGACCCCCAGCAAAGATCTTGTTCCACCTGCTGCTCCACCAGTAGCCAAGCCGTCGCGCTTTATAGTTTTTGTCGGAAACCTTCCCTACACTGCTACGCAAGAAGCTGTTGCTGCCCATTTTGCCACGCTGCGACCAATTTCCGTAAGAAATCTGACCCGAAAATCAGAAGATGTTAGGCGTCCAGCCCGCGGTATCGCGTTTGTTGAGTTCGCCTCGTTCGACACCCATAAGACCGCTCTCGCCACCATGCATCACTCGCTCTTCGATGACGGGCTTAGCGAACCGCGCCGTATCAACGTTGAGCTAACGTAAGACTCATGTCACTTTCATGAAATGCCATGCTAACACATATTAGGGCCGGAGGTGGAGGAAATAAAGATGGGCGTCAGTCAAAAATTAAAATCAAAAATGAACGACTAAATCAACAGCGTCTACATAAACAAGAAGAGAAAAATAAAATAGTAGTAGCAGACAAAGTAGAGAAAGCTAAAAAAGAAACCGTTGACGAAAGTACGATTCATCCGTCTCGGCGGAAAATGATGGCTTGGGAATGAATAGGTTGGCCACATTAATGGCGTACATGTATTGATGAATTATTCAGGGATTGAGGAATCATTAGTTTTAACAATGCTTACACGGTGCGCTTCATAAGGTCAATCTAGTAGTAGACGCACATGACGCACTTACCACGGACCAATTATGAATTGCCACATAAGGCTTAAAGAATTTCATTAGTTATTAACTCCAATAGCTCGCGTGTAATACGAGCCCATCAGCGATGCAAATTCGCACACTACAATAATCACAACTACTCGCTCTGATTCCAAATTTATACTAAACCGTACCGTTTAAATCTGAAGAGATCTTGTGAACTGTTCAACGCAGGAAAATCTTCTTTATAGAAGCAAACATTAAACAATATGCTTCTTGAGTGGGCCTCCGCTGTAAATTAATCACCAGGATGGGCGTGGGCTTTCATTGGCGGTCGCATTCGATTTTTATCCGCTTAGCCTGCCTTAAGGCTATTGTTCTTTATTTCGTTCCTCCACTCGTTGCAAGCGTTGATATGAGCTACCTATTACAGGATAGTACATTTGCTAGGCTTTTTCTTCATGATTTGAGGCTTCGGGGAAAGAACAGCTCTGTTAGGAAAATTAGTAAGACTGATTATGTCTGAAGGATACCAACGCACCTAATGGCCTCATCAAAGACACTCTTCAAATTTCTTTGTGTTAGAGCAGAACACTCCAGATACTTGTGCGCACGTATCTCTTTGGCTACTATCAAGGCCTGGTCGTAAGTGACGGGATCCATACGCTTCTGTTTCAAGCTATCCAATGTAGCTTGATCCTCCCTTAAATCAAGCTTGGTACCGACCAGAATTATGGGTACGGATGGCGCATGATGATCAATCTCAGGGAACCACTGGTAAGAGTCAGGATTAAGTTATGGTGGTGTCATTTTCAAGAATAATCTACCTTGGCGCGAACGTTGTCAAATGAAGGAGGTGAAACGATGGAAAAGCAGATGAGAAAGACGTCAGTCTGAGGATAAGAAAGTGGCCGTAGTCGGTCGTAATCTTCCTGGCCTGCCGTATCCCAAAGACCCAAGCTAATTGGTTTACCGTCCACCATTACACTAGCTGAATAATTATCAAATCTATGATATATCAGTACTGCAAATCGCCTATTGAAGTCTCTAGCGGATAGCTCACACGGTGGGTATGTATTCTCCAGGAAAGGCATTGGTAGTATAAGAGATGAGGAGACATGTCTGATTAACGATTAGTCTTGTTTGGTGTGATCTAAGGAAATAGAGTAGTGTAATGGATACCTTTCCTACAGCTCCATCACCAGTGACCACGCACTATTTAGACAGTCAGAAAATGTAAATAACCTAGATAGTCGAAGAAGCAAAGTGGAGATGGAGCAAACCTTGAGTGATTGTGTACCTGGACTGGCCATGGTTGAAGCAATTGTAGGAACTAAAGGATCAAGGAATATTATATGGAGAAAATGTATAAATGGATGATCGAGTTAGAAGGAAGAGCTAGAAGCAAGTAAGTTGATTAGAGCTTCTTGAGGTTGAATTAATTGAGCAAATAGAGGACCATCTAGGCATCATGAGTCAGTCAGTTTGACATACCAGATTGGATCAGTGATGAACGCAGGTGATGCGAGGAACGAGATGGTAGACTCAGGGGGAGGGGAGGTAGGGGTGGGGTAAAGGTGCAGATTTTGAGAGGTTGCTGTGAGCTTGGATTAGGGATGCGAGGTGGAATTAAGATGGGTAAGGAAATAGAGGAGGTGGTACTGATGGTGTTAGTGAAGGTTGTGTTAAATGTAGACGAGAAAGTAGTACCCTTTTGGTATAGGCAATCGAAGCAAATAGTAGTTATGATTGTGATGGTAGCGGTAACTGTAATAGTCGGGCTAGGGAATAATGTTCTAACAGTGGAAGCCGGTAAATGTGAGGAGAAAAGAGGAAAAGGATGACTCTGTACGTGTTCAAGTGTGAATTCTGCCCCCACAGTGCTAACCAGAGCTACTCCTAGTTCAACTACTCCTTCTGTTGCTACTACAGCTGATACAGCTATGCGACCGCTACTACTGCTCATGCCGAGGTCCGTGACAAGAAAAGGGTCTTGGAGCTTAACTCCTCCGCTGGCAGCAGGACGGGCAGGATGTGGCCAACGGGCTGCCAGCTTTCCGCTCTTCACCTCACCCTGTCACGTCAGTATCCGAGCACTTGAGCATGGCAAGACTCTCCCACGCTCGAGGCACGAGCTACTGCTGCTCAGCCCCAACCCTTGAATCTGGTCAGACGGGGTCACGGGGTCAGTTCCCTGTCTAGAAGGGGTAGAAGGTCACAGGGACATCCGGCAGAGAGGACGGACTGTGGGTAATTAGAAACATATCCTAAACATAGAGACCTCAATGATCAACAATTCCACGCGTTCTCCAACGACGCTGATACATTCTCACTTTTCACATACACAGATTACTTCTTTCGCGCTTGACAATCGCCTATCCATTCGTTTGAGCTTCTAGCGCTGAAACCTGTAACTTCAGAGTCTTTGATCACGTGAAAACTCCTCCTGTGTTTCCATACCAAATTGCAATAACAATGTTACTCAACATCACGTTTAATGAACTCGGTGATCACTATCCATTCTCGGCCGACTTATTCAGATTCGACCCTTCTTTGGGGTTTCAATGCGCTCATTATTCATCAATGACAATCCCAGGTATATTTCATAACAACTATCTCCGACCTTCATACGTTTCAACTGCCTCAATTCCTACTCGTGATCATTCCCGTGCTTAAGCCCACATTTACAGATCCGCACTTGGGTATCATAATTATATGATCCGGTTCCCAAATAAACTCCATCTACTTGCTACACGTGAGTTATTTTTCCTTTAATCAGAGAGTATTGTGTGCCTTATTGTCCGTACGCCGAGAAGCACCCAGTACAAATTCATCGAATATCAGACCTCCTAATCCATTAATTATTCTCCGCTACCCTTCCAAGCCCTACATAGAAACTTAACTGGAACTTCGGCCTCTTAAAAGTTGTATTCACTGATACTGCAGTAGCTCCCGCTCCTAGTTATAGCATCATGCGCGACCATTAAGCACCTGCTGTACGCTAGGCTCCGCCCTTGGCTCAATAATGTCCGTTTCAGCATCTTCGTTCCAGCAGTGCATTGTGCACGTCCCATTAGAGTAGCCATGCCCGTTCCATGCCGAGGCCACTATAACGGGGGCGGTTGGATGCCAAGACACGTCCCGAACACATGTCCTCCAAGGACCGTACATTCTCCCAGCATCGGAATTTTGGCCAGGTGGTCGTGTATTGTAGGTTGATTTGTAGATATCTAAAACCCGGACGAGAGATGCGTCCAGGTTCCAGATGTATACCTTCCCGTCTGCGCTGCCGGTATAAATGTATCTCGAGTTGGTACTAGCAGGTGGTGAAAAGTGACAACGAATAAGCGTTTTGAAGACCCTATGTCCACGAAACGTTACGAGTGAGTGATTTGGTATGTTACTCAGATGCTTGCTGTAGTCATATCCCAAGTCAAACCGATAATCAAATTGGCTGGGCGGACGGAGGTTCCGGATTCGGTCGAAAGCCTGCGGAGACGTGGCATTTCGAACATCCCAAAGTTTTGCGCTCTGATCTTTGGCATTACTTAAGATGTAACCTGTTAATTTCAGACTAAGATCCGATATGGTACGGGGTTATTCTTACGTCCATCCCCCTTACTTTCAACGTACGTGAGCCCTTCAAGGTGACCGATCAAGACCCCAGCTGCACGACTATCGCCCAAGGATCTCACATCCCAAATCTTGAGGGCCCAATCATCTGAGCCCGTATATATGATGTTGGAAGAATTATCTGCAAAGCTCACAGCATTTACGTCTTCAGTATGGCCATGTATGGAATGTAGTGGCGTACGCGACTCAATATCATAGACTACCATGAGACCACTTGTCGCACCGGCAACGAGTTGCCGGCCATTCCCAGAAAAGCGTATAGACCAGATCCCGAAATTGTGCCTCGATCTATCTGGAGATCCATTCTGCTGGCCAGAAAAATCCAAGATATGTGGATTGTCTAGGTCATTGGGACTAGTAGATGCGAGGCAGACGTTGCTCTGTATCGAGGTGTATGCTAAAAATTGGTTGTCTGGACTCAAAGAAGCATCGGTAAGTGTCCATCTTCCAAACGGATATGAAACAGTCTTATAATGTTTCCAGTCGTATGGATTAGATGTATCGTACATGCTCACCTTGAAATCTTTGTTGGCCGTGAAGAAAAAGTTTCCGTCCTGAGAAAATTGTCCGGAATACACGGGCTGATCAAAGTGTATTATCATGTCGGCGTTTGAAGATGGTATCATTCCCTTGCTCGTTAGCAAAGTTCTGCCTACAGATTATCTGTTGTGGATTACCTGAGCTATTAGCTTTCGATTCAACCTCTGCTGTGATGGGCGTGCAATTGCCAATTCTCTATCAAAGATTCTCATGGCGAGCTTTCTCCTTCCCTGAGCCTTTCGTTCGATGGAAGTGATAGGCTCATCATAATTCATGCCAAACTGGCCAGACCTCATCAACTCGGTTCCTCTTTTATTGGTATACATATGGATATCCGGTGCTCAGAACGGGCTGAATCCCCCTGTATTTGAGCTACTAGACAGTATAAAATGAAGGCTTGGAATGAAACCGGCAAAGACAACACTGATCCGAGTGTGTTGATATGATGTCTCATACCACTGACCACAGCCTGTACTCAGATTGAGGTTATGACGTCACGTGCTATTTCTGCTATGATCCCCAACTTGAGCTTTGCGGGAAAACTTTACACCGATATCATTATCATCACGACTGTATTGATCCACCAATGAGGAGGGATTGATATCTAGGTAGAGTCGATGACCATTTGTGCTCCTCCACACCCTTCCTCATTAGCTAAGTATGTGGACAGTACTAGAATTTTCTCGCAATGCCAATCACGAACGGGTAGCAGCAATAGTTCCTGAATAGACTTGGGTTGAAAATATCCCGGGTTATGCGAGTATTGCTCGAGACCAGAGCTGGATTGGTGCTAGCTTCCTGGTAGCCGCCATCTACTGAGGGCTAGACAGATAATTGGTTGTTTATGGCCTCTCAATCCAGCTCAGAATAGTTTGAGCGCTCAAGTCAATCAATTCAGGATTTTGCATGCTATAGATTCTGTACAACTCTATCAAATTTGGCGTGATTTATACAGATAGTATTACATCAGGTCCTTCCAAAAGCAGGTCATGATGATGGTTTTTCAGTGAGTGCAAGCTGATGCTTGTCTTAAAGACTTGGACGCCCGGAAGGTGCTAAAAAAAAGCTCGAGAAGGGCCCTCTACTTAGTGGGGGGAAAACGTGCAGAGTGGGCTAGTAAGTGTGCGCTAGAAAAGACTTTGGAATATAGGGAAGAGTATTGAATTTTTGTTACCGATACTTCTCTAACCTATCTTTCCCGCCCGTCAGACATGCGAGAGTAAAACAGCCAAGTACTTGACAGTTGATTCCTTGAAGGCAAGTTACATGAACGTCATGAAATGACATCTATTCATCCTTCAGCAATAACTATGTCTCAATGTGCAGACCATGATACCTAGGGGACGTTGGGGGAGACCCAGGAAATCCCCTAGCCGAAATCGATTAGGGCAGCTTACGCACAGGGGGGCGATAAGGTGTTTTCCGAGACTTAATGGATAATTTTTGGATTTTCGACACAGGAATGATCAATCGTTTGACATTCTCGAGGACGCCTTGATGACTGTAGATAGCTAAAGGAATCAAATAATACTTCTTCCCGCCTGGAAAAGAGGCCAACTTATTCGGTTGTACTAGTAGACATTTTGATAGCCTTGCGCGAATAGGTTAATTCAAGGACACAGCTGCTGTAGGCGATTGAGAGGAGGTACACAAGAAGTGCGTTCAAGGCCATTTCATGCAAATATCGTACTTTTGTGGAAGTGATGAGCATAATTCTAGAAGAAATCACAAGCTATGAACCGATTGAAAAGCTTATTCAGCAAACATTCTCTAACTATAGGCAGAGTAAGCGAGAGGCTTGTGCTAGCTTGCATCACAGGGAGTAATTTCATCTCTTGAGTTATCACATGACGCGTGCAATTGTCTCCTGCTGGCACGAGTAACTTTGGTAAATCTCAGCTTCCAAGATAAATTAATCACCTCTAACTATCATTGCTTGTTAGACTTACACCTACAATGGCCATGTATCTTTGGGATGCGTTGACATCCACTAGGTCAGCGATGCCTTTTTGCTGATCGTTACTAGGACAGGGACCCGTGCTCGCTCATCGAAGTGCCTGTTCCTCTACTACCCCGGCCTCCAAGCTCCAGCGTGCACTGGCCCCAAAGTTCATCAAGGAGAGTCTCCGTCTACGACCTTGACGATATCAGCGGGACGTCATGTAGATCAGGTTCATGAGACATAAAGGGATGAGTTCACGATAGGTCAAGCTAGCATGAACTATCAAACTAATCAAGCTATAGAGAGAGGGGCAGTAGATTCTGGCCAATAGCCAACATCAATACAAAAGTGCATTGTGGCATAGTTTTTGGGTCAATTTGGTTTTCTGAATTCTATCTCTTTTATTTGCGAGATAACATGCAAGGAATTTAAGCATGGGCAGCAAGGAATAAAGTAGACAAGGGCATGCAAGGAGGTGGGAATCGTCCGGAGAAACTCCTACGTCCTTCGCTCCCCAAGTCTCACGAGGACCCAACTTATTGTCTTCGGTTGCTATTTTGGAACGTGTGTGCGCGTATTTCGCACATGTCCGTTGTCCTGGATTGGGAGGCCAAGAATCAATGCCCACTCTTTCTTTTTTTTTTTTTTTTTGCATCAGATTTTAATTGCGTATGCAGCTATCTAGCTTTGACACAATATCAAAGAAAAGTACAGAATAGATGTTTCAACGAAAGGGAAGAGCAATCATGCCTCAGATTTCATTTGCAAGTACCACTGCGAAGTTATGGTGGCTTTTTCTTCATCCCAAGTCAACCCTCATCCGTGAATACCCACCCAGGGGAACGTCTCAAAAACCCTGAGTTATCCAGACATGCCTTCATCATCTTTCAACTATTCTCCGCGCGATATGTGATCTGAGGTGTCTCTTTCCCAAGTGGAGTAGGTGCCCAGGCTACTCAAACCATACCAGAGAACACCACCAGGAGGCGGACCACGACACCTTCCATCGTTGGCTTGTTTTTATAGTGACAGCTGCACTCTCACAACCGATGGCTTGGCGCGCACAAAGCTCAATTCGTAAAACTGCTTGCCAAAATTCGGAATTTCACTCCCTTCAAGGTTATATCCTTCCTTTGCATCATCTTGTAAACTTGTCCTGGTCCCTCTCACATCCATCCCAAGGAATTGTCTCCCAGATTTGTGCGCCACGCTTTGCTTCCTCCGTCGGGTATAAATATCGACGCGGGCGTGTATTTGGTGGTCAACTGAGACCAGAGAAGGTCGAAGAGAGGTGTGGTCATTGGGATGAGGATGTACTAGGTCTTACTTGTAGACTTGATAAGGCTTAAGTAGGCGTCAAACTCGTTGGGAGCGGAAAAACGACGTGGTGGAATAATTTTAAATTTTGCCTCGTGGGCCAACTTCTTTGATATTGCGAAATTTGACTGAACTTGGCTCTGGGAGAATATTTCACTCCCAGGTTCGTAGAGGACACCGCGTATAGGTGTTCAGTCTTGCCCTCCCAATGCCCACTCATGGTGTACTTGTAGACCAGAATGTCAACTGTTCTTCTATGGCCAAGTTCAGTCAAAATTCGCAATATCAAAGAAGTTGGCCCATGAGGCAATGATTCGAGATACTCCACCACGTCAATCTTTCACCCCCAACAAAATCGATTCCTACCTAAGCCTCATCAAGTCTACAAGTACGACCTAGTACATCCTCATTCCAATGACCACACCTCTCTTCGACCTTCTCTGGTCTCAGTTGACCACCAAATACACGCCCACGCCGATATTTACACCCGACGGAGGAAGCAAAGCGTGGCGCACAAATCTGGGAGACAGTTCTTTGGGATGGACGTGAGAGGTATTAGGATAACTTCACATGATGATATAAGGAAAGGTATAACCTCGATGGGCGTAAATTTTGGAACTTTAGCAAGGATTTTTACGAATTGGGCTTTGTGCGCGCCAAGACTTTGATTGCGAGAATGAAATTAACAATACCAACCCAAGTCAACGTTGGAGGGTGCCGTTGTCCGCCTCTTGTTGATGTTCTCTGGTATAGTTTAAGTAGCCTGGGCACCTACTCCACTTGGAAAAGAGACGCCTCAGACCATATTTCGCGCGGAGAATAGTAAATGGATGACGGAGGCATATCTGAATAACTCAGGGTTTTTGAGACGTTCCCCTGGGTGGGTATTCACGGATGAGGGTTGACTTGGGATGAAGAAAAAGCCACCATAACTTCGCAGTGGTACTTGCAAATGAAATCTGAGGCATGATTGCTCTTCCCTTACATTGAAACATCTATTCTGTACTTTTCTTTGATATTGTGTCAAAGCTAGATAGCTACATACGCAATTAAAATCTGATGCAAAAAAAAAGGCAGGACTATGTTTAGAGTTTCACCCAGATACTCGCAAGCGAAGTCGCGGCGCGCACAACGCTCTTCGATTTGAGAATAGCATCCCAAAATCAAGATTGGCTACTTACGAGGTTATTTGTTTCATCAGCATCATCCAATCCACTTGTCTTGATCACACATGTTCATCACAAAAACCCACCTTCCATATTTGTACACCCCAATTTTCCTCCTGTGGGTATTCTTATTCTCGTTGGCGTGTACTTTAGGGGTCGACTGAGGTCAAGAACTGAGTCATTGAGTAATGCAGAATTAAACGATGATGTACTAGTTTGTACTTGCAGTCTTGACGAAGCTTTGATCAGAATCAAACTTGTTGGGAGTAAGGAATTGATATGGTAAAGAGGCTTGAATAATTGTTTCGAGAACCAGCTTCTTTAGTGTTGCAAAATTTGAATGAAGTTTGCTTTCGGATAATATTTCACTTTCTGGTTAATGAAAGATACCTTGGACAGATGTCCAATCTTTCTTCTCTAGGTTGATTGTTCACATCAAACAGAATCTGACCAGACATATCGCAGTTTTTGTAAGATCACTACCGTGATGCTGATGGATTGTAGAGGCAGCTATGGCTTATGAGCATACATCCGGCTAAACCGCGGCTAGCCTCTGGATCCTTGTGCCATGCATTCCGGGTGCTGCGGTAGCACCTAGTCACGTTAAAAGTAACATCATACTGGGTACCTCCTCGTTGTTTACAAGAAAATAATTAAATTATCATGTTTTAATAAATCAAAATTGGCTAGTTTCTTTCAGGTAGATCCTAGAAGTCCTTCATAGTCATAGACTCAGACAGTACTATAATAAAATCTAATCTAATCTTATCAAACTGGGTGGCATTTGCGAATAATATCTAGAGCTTCATAGATACTGATTTAACCTAATTTAATTTTCAATACATAATAGGCATCTACAAAAATTTAAGGCTTAGTATCCAAACATATTATGAATGATAAA